GGATTGTGGGTCCGAGGTCCCTTGTATATATGTGTTGGGGTGTCGTGAGGAGCCTCTTGGGGGCGGTTTTGGCGCCTCTTGGGGGCCTCTTTGGGCCTCGTGTGGAGTATCTTTTGGGACTCTTGGAGGCCTTTTGGGTGCGTCTTGGGCGCCTCTTGGGGCCTCTAGGGCCTGTTGGCGGCCTCTGGGGGCCTCCTGGAGGCTCCTCTTGGGGCCGTCGTGGGGCCTCTTGGGCCGTTTTGGCAGTTTCTTGGGCCACTTTGGAGCCCCCTTGGGCTGTCAAGAGGCCCTCTTGGAGGCGGTCTTGGGAACTTCTTGAGCAGTGTCTTGGAGCGTCGGAAAGCCGAAAATGCGAGAAGGCCAACATCTAACACACACACACACACACACACATACACACACACACACACACACCGTTTGCGAAACATCTGATTTGAGCCTCTTGGGGCTGTCTCGGGAGACCTCTTGGCGTTTGTTTGGAGCCTCTTTGGGCCCTCTTGGGCCGTCTTGGAACCATCTATTGGCGCTTCGGAACACTCTTGGCTTCGGCAGTGAGAATATAATGTAATTCGCTCTGGTTTATGGATTCGGGGGCGCGAGTATTGTAATGCACGATGGTTCGTTGCCTCGGGGACGCAAGCTGGTGCGTAACGCATGAAAGATCGCGGCCTCTGGGGCGCGAGCATTATATAATTTACGAGGGATTCTGGATTCGGCGGTGCAAATTTAGAGTGTTTCTGCGTGCCCCACGCCCCCCCACGAATTCAGGGAACGCGATCCTGGCGCGGTAGCCGGCGGGTTTGGGGCTCCGCTCCCTCGCGCGGACTTCAACAATCTACATCAGGAAGCAAAACGCAGGAGTGTATCATTGGAGACTTGAAAACTGCAGCTGTTGCAGGGAACGCCACAATTCGGCCTACAGCCTGCAAGGGGGCCGGCGGATTTGATATTCCTCTCCCTCCGTCGCCCCTCCTCCCTTCGGTGTCGTTCCATTCGTATCATCTTTGGGATGCCTGTTCCGAACTCCGCGCGCCCCTCCCTCCCCCATGTTCTTTCCGCCTCTGTATTCTTTCAAGCTCCTCCGTCTTCATATTCTTTCAGATTCCTCCCTCTCCCTCCTCCCGCCCCCTTCCGCGTCCCCAGATTCTTTTAAACTGTCCCTGGTTCGTAAAGATCATGGCCAGCCAGATGGCTGGCTTCCAAATCCCTCCGAATTCTTCCAAATTCCACCAGATCCTTACACATTCTTACAGGTTCTCACCGTCCAAATCCGTCCAGATTCGTTCACATCCAGATTCCAAATTCGTCCAGATTCGTCGCATCCACGCCTGTGTCCAAATCCGTCCCGATTCGTTCACATGTGCCAAATTCGCCCAGATCCTGCCCAACTCCGCCAGATCGCCTACGTCCAGACCCTGCCTGATTTTTGCAAATGTCGCCAGATTCTTCAGGGCTCTACCAGATCCGGTCCCCCCGTGCTTCGGGTTTTATCTGAGATCGCAAAGTAGAATCAACCATCCTTTATGCGCGGCCACGCAAGCGAAGGGATCGTGCGTGGTGCCACTGTATCCATCTGGCGGTGCGAATGACCCCAGGAGGATATGGAAGACGCAGAAAAAGGTATGGATGAGGGTAACAATCCCCGTCAGTATCAACCGTATATTCACGATGGTGATGGACGGGAGGAAAAGCGTGGAGAAACACAGGGCACTCCGGGTTGCGCCTCTTAGGGTTTTCTTGTGGAGCCTCCTGGGCCCCCTGGGGGGCTCTTTGCTATCTTCTGGGCGCCCTTGGAACCTCTGGGACAGTTTTAAAGAGTCGGAAACCCAAGTCAGCGATAACATGAAACTCTTTCAAATCCCATGTATAACAATCGATATACCTCTCGGGGGGCGCCAGAAGCTTGAATAACGGCGGGCGCGTAAGAATAGTTAGAACATTTTGAAATCAGTGATTTGGTCCAAGCATTCCGAGAGGGTCTCTTAGAGCCTTCTTGGGGTGCATCGTGGCATGTTGGACCACTTCGGAAGCATCTCGAGTCCATCTTGGGTTGTCTCAGTTGCCTTGGAGCTTTCTGGAGGCCCAAAAGAGCGCCCGAGAGCATATTCAGAGCAATCGATGTTCAAGCGACGCGTGGGACGAGGAGGGAGGGTCGGTATCAATAAAAAAGTCAACAGAGACCTTCCCATACGGCACCATAGCAATCCAGCACGCCGTAACGTGCCGCTGGCACGGTGGCTGATGATGCAACCAAGAACATGCCTTTCTATCATCAGCCGCCGAGTGCGCAGCCCATGGCGCAGCCCAAAACAGATTCGCTTGCGGCAGCCAGGTGCGGAACCTACGACTCACCCTGTGGATGGCGCGGCGCAGCCCATGGATGGTTCAACGTACGGCGCCACCCGTGGATGCCGCAACCTCGGGCGCATCTCATAGCAATGGCGCGACCAACGGATTTCCCACACGATTCCACCGATTACGCAACTTAATGTTGATCCGACTGTTGCACCGGCGCGGAAGTGAGCAGTCTGGCCCAAGAGGAGGTGGCGTCAGGTTCTTGTCGGGATGCTTGTGTCCTTGATCCTGTGTTGGCTTGACATTTCGACTCGGTATGCTGTGATGCCCGCGTCCGCCTCTTTGTCATCGTGAGGTGCCCTGACTTCCCGACTGACTGGCTGAAGGATTGACGGGTCGCACGCTTTAGCAGGCACCTTCATCGGGGGCGGAAAAGAGGGGGGTGATGACTAGGGGGGGGTGGATATCATGGCGTGGGCCATGATATTTCCCCAGATTTCATGGCGCCTCTTCTTATTTCATTACGTCCCTGGCCCCCCCGCTGGGCCGCGCACATGCCGCCGGTCATGATTTGCACCCCCCCCTCTTGGACACCCCCCTCTTGGCCGCTCCCGACTTCATTTTTGGCCGCCGGGTGCGCAACCCACGACGCAACCGACAGCAGATTGCTTCAAGTCCCGGCGGCCGAGGGCTCCACAGATGGCGCATCCTGTGGCGCCGGCCGCGCGGCTTCCCCAGCGGCGTAGCTCATGGCTCAGCCCCTGGCACACCGTGTGGCGCAACCCACGCATGGCTCGGGGGCGGAAAAGAGGGGGGTGATGACTAGGGGGGGGGGTGGATATCATGGCGGGGGCCATGATATTTCCCCAGATTTCATGGCGCCCCTTCTTATTTCATTACGTCCCCGGCCCCCCCGCTGGGCCGCGCACATGCCGCCGGTCATGAGTTGCACCCCCCCCTCTTGGACACCCCCCTCTTTGCCGCTCCCGAATGGCTCAGTCCACGGATCGGATGTAGCCCATGGGAGGTTAAATTCAACATCCGTGCTGGCATGTCCTTGGTCGAAAGCTGACCGCATTTCGCTGAACCCCTGTCGGTCCGGCTTGATCCCATCTAATCCAGTTTGATCCTGCTTATGAGTCTGGTTACATCCCGCGTGATCCAGATTAGTCGGGTTTCATAGTTTTTTCATCGTTCTGACGAGGACCTCCCAGGAATTGCCTCCGAGTCGTGGTGCAATCCGTGGAATCGCAGGACCTATTGTGCAACAATGGGCCAGAGGAGGAAAGGGTACCGATGCCGCTGCCCGTGCTTCGATTTCGTCATTTTGGGCCTCTTGGGGGGACCTCGTCGCCATTGCTGGATTCGCTTCGAAATTATTGTCAGAACCCACCCGGTTCCGTTTCGGGATATGTTGGTTCCTTTACGAACGGTGCGGCCCTTGGCGAATGCGTGTTTTGATTTGAGGCGCAACGCATGGATGGCGCATTTGGCCCTATTCGAGAGCGGGGGGATCATGACGAAGATGAGCAACAGACGAGCCTTGTAGAGCGTCGGTGGCAGCAGACGATCTACAGTTGTCTGTCTGGCAACCCCAGGATAAGGAAAGGCGTTTTCGCGGAGTCGTCCCCGAGCGCCCTGGATCCGCCGTGGAGCCCGACACAGGGTCCATTTCAACCCGACGGGTCTGGTTAATGATCTTGCTTTGGGATCGATTTCTGTCGACCCGATTTGGCTCCATTTTGATAGTCCGGCGATCCGATCTGGCCGGTTGCTTGCACGGCGCTGTGTGGTGCAACCGATCCGATTCTACTGCGACTCCGTGCCGATTCGGCCCGATCCGACGCACCACGATCCCGTTCCTATGTCGGGTTCATTCCTTATGTCCTGATTCGATGCGGATTGATTCCGCCCTGGCGCCCGACGCACCCGGGATGCCCGCCAGCTCGCAGAGGCACCAAGGGTTCTACGTGATGATGCATCTCCTGGGATGCTAGATTCGGCGTCGGCGCTGGTAGATCCGCTGTCGGATAGCGGCCAGGTCTGGCATCGTCTGGTTGACGTTTGGTCTTTCCTTCCAAACGTAGTCTCCCGGGGCTCGGCAACTCGGGTAGAATGGCCTCCGAATCAGGCGTAAGAGCGTTTAAGCTTTCTTACGAAGGTCTCCCAGGAGTTGCCTCCCATCATTTTCCAACTCGGCGCTGGGCCGTCTTCCCTGGCCCCCAGGGCGCCGGAGGCGCCCCCAGGTGGGCCCTGCGCCAATCCAAGAAATCCGCGCGGACCTGCGGTTTGATATGCCCTCTCCCTTCCTCTCATTCGTGCCCGATCGTGGTCGCACCCATCCTTCTCTCAGGGAAGGCATCACCACCCCGACCCTGATAATTGGTGTTTGCAAAACGTCCTTGGGCGTTTACTAACCAGCCCTGCCCTCTTCGATTCCTTCCTTGCGTGCGTTTACTTGAATGGCTTCGCTTGTCGGTGTGTTTACAGTCAACCCGCACAAGAAGGATGAGCAATGTTCCAAGATTCTCCTTGCATTCTTCCACTTCGGGCCGGTCCATCCTTGGCCGTTTTCGCTGGCCGCGCCCCGCTCGAAAAGTGTCGGCATGGCCCTCCAAGGCCCTTGCATCCGTATCCCGCGTTTTTATTATACAGGTGCGCTGTATTCAGAGGGTGGACGTTCTTCTCCCTGCTCGCTCCGTGAGGTGCCGCCGCCTGGGGTGCCGGTGGCCATGCGCGCCGCGCTGTTGCACGCTGCGGTCAAGGCAGAGGCCGAGAGCATCGGCAAGGTGGAGCGGGCCGAGGGCATCATCAAGGCGGGCGCCGACCCCGCCCCGAAGGCCCCCATGGAAGTGGGGCGTAGGGGGGGGAGGGCAGGACTTCGCAGAAGCACCCCTGCTTCTCAGGCGCGGGTCTTCTCTGCAGATGTAGGGCCAGCGCCGTCTGAGAAGCAGCCTCCTGCTATGAGGCCTTCCCCCCTCCCCCTGCTCCTCCCCCCTCCTCCCCTTCCTCCTCCTCCTCCTCCTCCTCCTCCTCCTCCTCCTCCTCCTCCTCCTCCTCCTCCTCCTCCTCCTCCTCCTCCTCCTCCTCCTCCTCCTCCTCCTCCTCCCCCCTCGCCCTACCCCCCTTGGTGCGCGCCGCCAAAATCTATGGGCGCGTCTCGTCCTCCCGGTGCCTCGCGTGGGCCTCTCCGTCGCCACGGCCGGAGGCACCCTGGAAAAGCTGGGTCGGAACGCCCCCTCCAGGTCCTCCTCCTCGTCCTCCTCCTCGTCCTCCTCCTCCTTCTGCTCCTCCTCCTCCTCCTCCTCCCTTTTCCTCCTTCTCCTCCCTCCTCCCTCCACCCTCCTCTCCTCCTCCTCCTCCTTCCTCCTCCTCCTCCTCCTCCTCCTCCTCCTCCTCCTCCTCCCCCCTCGCCCTACCCCTTTGTGCGCGCCGCCACGGCTGGAGGCACCTTGGAAAAGTTGGGTCGGAACGCCCCCTCCAGGTCCGCGGGTCGACTTCTCGAGTCTCGCCACGAGGCCAACTCAGATCTTCACCACCCACCAAACCACCCCAACCCAACCCGAAGGCTCAGATTTACCCTCGATTTCTAGTGGGGGGGGGTCCGGGAACATCGAAAACAACACAGATGGAGCCCATACCCCCCCCAACCCGAAATTCGGGTCTTCGGGTTGGGTTGGGGGTGGTCTGGTAGGTAGTCAGATCTCTGGCGATGTGCTCTTGTTCAATCGTAGTGGAACGAGCAATGGCATAAGCATACAAACTCGTAGGTCCGCGCGGACCTCCGAGTTTTGTGTCTCTGCCTTTGCTCGCTCCCCTGAATCGGGGCGTGTTCCTCGATTTCTGTCCTCGAGGGCCGCTGCAGGGCCCCAGGGCCGTCAAACAATGGTTTGGGGGCGAACAACTGTCCCTGTGGAAGTGGTCGGGACCCCTCAGGGGCCGCGGATTGACAAGGTCAGATCGGCAGATGCCAGGTGTCGGGCCCGGAGGGCAACGTGTGCTGCCTCCCGGGGTCCTCCGCGGGGCCCAGTGCCGACGACTCCAGATGCTGAAGCTGGTCCCCGGGGAAGCCCTTCCCCCCAGGTCCAGGGCCAAGGCAGGAGAAGAAGTCGAGGCCCGTTTCTGCCAGGGCCCTTCACCTTCGTGCCAAGGCGGGCGCGCGCGCGCGCGGGTTCCCCCGCAGCGGACTGCAGAGCCGTGGTTCGACGCTCCCGGGCCATGCTCAGATCGGAGCCGCGCTCTCCCAGGCCACCCGCTAAGCCAGGGGGTGGTCGTGCCTCGCGGCCTGGGCCGAGCAGTTCGCCGTCTCCAGGGTGGAGTCCGCCCTTCGACTGCTTCCCTGGCGGGTTGACGTGGCCCGAAGTCTTCGTTAGAGCGGTTGGGGGCCTCCAGGCTGGAGACTCTGCTGCATCTCCCTCCCAACCTTTCAAGAACCATGCTGGTCACTCGCGTCCTCCTCCGCCTCCTCCTCGTTCTCCTCCCGTCCTCCTCCCCCTCCTTCTTCTCCTCCTCCTCCTGCTCCTCCTCCTCCTCCTCCTTCTCCTCCCCCCTCCTCCTCCTCCTCCTCCTTCTCCTCCTTCTCCTCCCCCTCCTCCTCCTCCTCCTCCTCCTCCTCCTCCTCCCTCCTCCTCCTCCTCCTCCTCCTCCTCCTCCTCCTCCTCCTCCTCCTCCTCCTCCTCCTCCTCCTCATCGTGTCTCTCGTCTCACTGATCACACATCTTCCGGTCAGCAGGCTTTTTGTTGGGGACGCCCTTACAACTTGGATCGGATTGAGTGCCCGCCCGCTCGGTCGAAGCGGCTGCAGGCGTAAAAGCAGTGTGCGCTGCGATGCAGCGCGGCGTGTCCAGCAGTGACGGTTAAGTTGAACATGTGGATGGTGACGATTGTGAGGAGGAGGAGGAGGAGGAGGAGGAGGAGGAGCAGCAGAAGGAGGAGGAGGAGGCGGAGGAGGAGGACACGGTCGAGGATGAGGCGAGGGACGAGGAGGAGCTGTAGGGAGGGGCGGATAAACACGAGGAGGATGGAAAGGATGGAGAAGCACGGAGAACAGGGGGGGAGGAGGCTGGAGGGAGGCGGAGGCAGGGAGGGGGTAGGAGGGAGGCGGAACGAGAAGGAGGGTTGTGAGATCTCTTCGAGCCGCCTGCTAATTTGACTGCCGGCCTTTTTGTCGCGTTAGGACCAGGCCAGGACCGCGCGGGCGATGGTGGCCGAGGGCGGAGGCGCGAGGAGAGAGGACGGGGGCAGGCGGATCATGAGGCGAATGAGGAGAGGAGGATCGAGGAGGAGGAGGATGATCGGGGAGGAGGGGGAAGAGGAAGAGGATCGGGGAGGAGGAGGAGGAGGAGGAGGAGGAGGAGGAGGAGGAGGAGGAGGAGAGGAGGAGGAGGATCTAGGAGGAGGAGGAGGAGGAGGAAGATCGGGGAGATGAGGATCGAGGGGGGGAGGGGGGAGGTGGGCCGCGCGCCAAAGACGGAGGACGGAGGCATGGGCAGGGTGAGCAGCAGCACGAAGGCGAGGAGGACGACTCGGACGCCGCGAGCCGGCATGCACAGGGCAGCTGGTAGAGAGCGCTGCGGAGGTGCGAGAGCCCCAGGCAGTGCAAAGGCATCCCGTGGAAAACACCACCTCGGAAATTGGAGCATGTACATTACCAGTGGCGGGCTGTTTTTCAATCCCAGGGTTTCTTGAGGGTCGAGGACGACGCTGGGGTGGTGTGGTGTATACGTTTTCCCCGATGTCCATATGAAACAACGAAAATGCACACACCAGGGTCCCATATACACCAGGATCCGCTCTCCAGTGCAGAATCTGATGCAGGGCCGGAAGAAGCGTCGGTGTATAGTGTTCGATTCCTTACCACCCTGACAGACTGCGACCTCCTGTGCCGGCGCACTGCAGCAGGCTGGCGTCGCCCTCCGCGCAGCGGCGGTGCCGGCACGCGGGAGTTGGAATCGGAATGCCCGTCGGGGGCCTTTCTGGGAAGCCTCAAATGAGAAGGTCGTTTGGGGGGCCTTCCTTCAGGAGGGAAAAAAACACACAGACACAATTAATCGTCGATTTCCCAGAAAATATGGGAAAATATGGGAAGTGGTGGGGAAGACAAAAACCCAGAAAATATAGGAAAATATGGGGGATCTTTTTATTTGTGTGTATTTATTTGTGTGTCTCAGTTTCCCTTCATTCCTGGGGCCCAGTCAACGGATCTGTCCGCCTCATAGTCTCATAGTTTCGGCTCTAGCTCGACTCGACTTCGAGGGCCTCCAGAGGGCCAGTTTTTCCGGGGCCGTGCGGAAGGGGGGTGAGGGCCAGGGGTGTGTGGATATGGCACCCCGTCTTTGTTTTCTTTCGGCCGCGTTCCTCCTCCCTCCACCTCTTGCATGGTGGCACTATTCGCTCCAACGGAACCCCCGCTTATGCGTTTCACCGCCAGAACAGTCACCCTCTGTCTAGCCGCCGACACAAAAAAACCTGTGTGGACACGGCCTGGCGCCGTGAAGCCTCCCAGATATCACGGCACCGTCGTCTTCTTGGAACACATGCTTTGGCCCCCAGACGCCCGCGCACATGCGTCAGGCCATGCTTCAATCACCTTCGCCCCGATTAGTGCGATCGGGTCGATCGTTGGCCCTCTGTCGTCTCGTTTTCCCGTCGCTCGCTCTCATGCGCAACTCGGGTTCGGTCCGGTTCTAGGTCGCTCGCGGATCTGCATGCTCCTCCTCTTCCTCGCCTTCCTCCTCTTGCATCTGGGGGGGGCAAAGAGTTCGCTCCAGGTGGCCAAGGCCATGGTCGTGGTCATGATAGACGCGGCCGAGGCAGAAAAGGACGGGCTGTGGTCCACTCGTCCGCCCTCTTTCTAGCGTGTCCCTGGCTTTACGAGATCGGCGGCAACTAGCAATATCGCTCTTGCTCGATCGCTTGCCGTTCCCATGTTTCTGGCAACATTCTAGGTCTCAAATTGTGTCCGACTAGGTCGGGTCGGACGCCGACGGCGCCGATGTATCGCCGATTCGTTGGCGATGCGTCGCGATCCTCCGACCCCATCTACTCGGATCTCGTTTGGGAGACCTCCAGAGATGTCGATGCCCGCACTTGCCGTCTTTCGAAGAAGACAACATTGCGTAAACATGCACTTTCGGAGGCCCGCGCGGGTCCCTTGGACCTGCGTTGAGCCCCCCCATGGTGATGCCTCTGGCGCCGCCACTTGCGCGCTTCGCGCGCCAGGCTTCCAGCGCAGGACCCGAGCCATTGGCTGTCTATTCTTATTGAGCCCGTTGCGTGATACTCGACCCCGAGAGGTCGCCGCGGCGATCGTGGCGGCCGCAAATCGGGGCAAGGTGTTTGTCAAGGAGGGGCACGCCGCCCCTTCCAGAGCCCCCGCCCCCCCTTTGCGACGCACACGTGGCCCAGACTGGCGGCAGAGAGCTGCCAGCGTCCGTCCAGCATGGGCAGCAATGTTTTTTTTGTTTTGGGGCCGCTTGCCGCGCAGACATGATGGCGTTGCGTTGCCTACCGTGGGGGCCCATGCCGAGACACACCCTGCTCGCCTCCAGGGTGCCCTGGGTCTCTTGGGTTTCGATGGTCTCCCTCTGGAGGGCGTGACCTTTCTCCGCCAACACTCCACGGACGTCCTGGGGTCTCAGGGTTGGGTTTCCTGTGGAAGGCCTCTTGTGCACTGGCCTCCCCTGTGCCACGGAGCCGCCGCACCTCCTGCAGCGGGCCGCCCCCCGGGGAGGGGCGGGTCGCGGGCCGCAGCCCTCAGGGGCGACCAGGGGCCCCCGAGGCCGCAGGGCGGGCGCGCCCCGAGACGGCGTGATGCGCGGACCGCCTCCAGGCGGGCGGCCTTCCCCCCCCCCCCCGCGGGCGAGGGCCTCCCCCTCCCGCCCGCTCGGGGGCCCGCCCCGTCCAGCCGACGAGGAGGAGGTATACCGGGCACCGCTTCCGTCCCCTCGAGTTCCCCGTGCTGGGCCTCCTAGAGGCGGCCCTCGTCGCCTCGGCCGGATTCGCCTCGAAGTGCTGGTCAGAACGCGCCCCGGGAGAGGTCCCTGCAGCAGCGGTATGTCGGGGGCGGAAAAGAGGGGGGTGATGACTAGGGGGGGGTGGATATCATGGCGTGGGCCATGATATTTCCCGAAATTTCATGGCGCCTCTTCTTATTTCATTACGTTCCTGGCCCCCCGCTGGGCCGCGCACATGCCGCTGGTCATGATTTGCACCCCCCCCTCTTGGACACCCCCCTCTTGGCCGCTCCCGAGTATGGGCACACTGTTGTTCCCCCGGTCCAGCTCCGTCGTCCTCCTCTTCCATCTGTTTCTGGTGTTTCACATGGGCAAGGCTGCTGCTCGGACAGACGACGCTGTGTTTTTTTCTGGTGGCGCAGGCGTGTATCTGAAGGGCCTCGCTCTTCGGCTGCCGGACACAGGCTGGATTGCGCCAACTTATGGCCACATTGGAACAGCTTCAGGGCCTTCTTGGGCCTTTCTGTCTGGGGCGTCATAGGAGACGAGGGAGGGAGGGGGAGGGAGGCAGGGAGGGAGGGAGATGGAGAGGGAGACGAGAGTGAGGGAGAGAGAGTGAGAGAGAGAGAGAGAGAGCGAGAGAGAGAGAGAGAGCGAGAGAGACAGTGGGAGAGACCGAGAGTGAGAGAGAGAGAGAGAGAGCGAGAGAGCGACAGGGAGGGAGAGATCGCAGCAGTTCGGCGGGCCGGAGTCAGTCTGGCGCGAGGGTTGCAGGCGCCCTCCGCGCCAACCTCACGTGGCGGGCGGTGCCGCATGTGCGATCAGGGGATGGGGTATACATTCCCTTAGCGCGGTCGTGGGGACCCCGATTGGAAAAAAGCATCGGATCTGCAGCGATCAGAGCGTATAACGCTCCCGACAGGGAGGGAGAGAGAGAGGGAGAGGGAGACAGAAAGAGAGAGAGAGAGAGTCCCTCAATGTCGCTCCGAATAGGATAAGGAGAAGCGCCTCGCGGTCCTGGACTCCCTTGTGCTGTACCTGAGCAGCGCTGAGCAGCTCTGCGAGGAAGGGGCCGCCGCCGCCCAGGAGGCAAGAGGGAGGGAGGAGAACGAGGATGAGGAGGCGGGTGAGGAGACGCATCGTCGTTTACGGAGGCAGAGAATGCAAGCGGCCCGAAAGAGGTGCCCAAGAGGGGCCCCAAAGGGTTCCTGAAGTGATCCTTTAGCGCCCTTTGTTTCCCACCCCATGTGGGGCACCTCCCATTACCACCCGCCCGACCTGGTTTTACCGGTGGCAGCGATGTATTCTACCACCTATCGGGGGAACGTAAGATGCCCAGGTGGAACGAGAGGAAGCGGCATGCACACTGTTTGAGCTTCGGCGGATCTTTCGGATCGGCGCTCGGGCCCGCCTGGCGGCGCCCCTGGCGCCGCCCATGGAGGTGGGTCCAGCGCCGGTTCAAGAAATCCGCGCAGCCCTCCGAGAGTTTGTGTATGTGCCGTTGGTTGCTTCCTCTAATTCTACCGCTCGTCCACTGAAGTTGGTGAGCTTACTTGCGCGCCAAAGCTGCCACTGCTGTCTCGTAAACCAACATGGCACTACCACCTCCGACCACCACGAGGGCGGGGCAGACTTGCCGAAGGAGTGCCGCGACTCGGGGTGGCGCTTCGAGAAAGGTCCCAGTCTCGACTGCCAGCCTCGACGGCTGCCAAAACCCCCCACACACACACCCCTTCCCGGCACCCCGCTGGCCAGGGATTCTCGCGGGTGCCGCCGTCAGGGGTGGGACTGGCATTTGGGGTCATCCCCTGCTCCGCCGAAGCGCGGCCTCAGTTTGGGCGCCTCACAGAGGCTTGCCATTGTTGTTGCTTGTGTGTTTGTTGCTTGTTGTTTTTCCTCCACGCCCGGAGGTCTTGGTCTGGTCCGCCATCCCGTCTGCTCGCCCCCTGCGCACTCCCGAGGTCCAGGTTGCCAAGCTGGAGCCAGAGGGTGTGGGTCCGGGCGCAACAAAGAACCACAACCACAACCCAGTGGCTTTTTCTGGAGGGCCCCTCTGGGGAGAACCCAGCCCGACCTCGACATGAGTCAGTTGTAGTTGTCGGCGATTTGATTGTGCTGGGACGCCCACATCTGCCACAACCAGTAAAGAGCTGGTGTCGGTGTTCTGACGATTGTCAGCGTGCGCAGGACATCTCCCAGTGTGTGTGTGTGTGTGTGTTTTTCTGTGTGGTAGTGGTCGCTCGTTCTCCTAACAATGGCGTCGGAGGATGTCGCCGCACCGTCAATGCGTGGGCGATGCGGGCGCGATCCTGAGCCCCTTCTTCTCCGCCCTGACGGCGCTGGCTGCATCGCCGATGCCTCGGCGACGCGGCGCGATGCGCAGACCCCATCCTCTCGGAGCCCCGTTGGGCAGCCCCACCACCTCGGCTCCAGCTGCCGGGAGGTTGAGTTCGGCATCGGCGCTGGTACTTCCGTGGTCGAAACGTGCCCATTCTGGGCATCGTCCCGTGGGATTCCCTGCTGATTCCGCGTGCCCCAGCTTCCTCCTTCGATTTAGTCCAGGCCATTCCGGCTTACTGGTCCCTTGATCGGGGCTGATGGCCCCTGATCGTTCCAACGAGCACCTCCCAGGAGTTGCCAGCACCAATGGTCTTGGCCTGGCCACGCCAGGCGCCAAGCGGCAGCCTCGAGCCTTCACAGGACATCCATGATGGATGCCCTGTAGAGGTGCGAGGTTGGATGCTGTGACATGTCCTCTGTGGGTGCGACGTGCGAGTGTTCTTCTCGGAGGGAGGGGGGCGGACGGATGGATGATCCAGCCGTCCCCCCCCCCAGAAGGGGATTATCTCTATAACTACCGCGTGAGGGACCGAGCTCCGGGGGCATCAGCAGGCGGTGGATATTGATGCATTCTTGCCCTGGGGGGTGGAGGGGGGAAGATATATCCATGCTCACCGCAAGGGAGTCACTGTTTTACACCCTGGCGATACAGCGCGTGTGTGTGGGGGGGGGTTAGGGGGGAGAGGGCTGGTCGCGTCACGATTCGCGCCGGTGCCGTCTGGGGATGCTGAAGGATGGCTCATTCCCGGACGGCGCCGGCGCGAACCGTGACATATCACCAGGTGGGGCCCAGTCGTGGGCGATGCCGCGAATAGTGCAGACATGGGCTCTTGGCGAGAGCTCGATCCCCCAGGCGGCGCTTCTGGCGAAGGATTGCAACAAAAACGAAGGATTGCAAAAAACAACCCAAGGATTGCAGAAAACCCAAGGGTTGTTTTGCACTCCTTCGGTTTTTTTTGCAATCCTTCGTGCAGACATGGGCTCTTGGCGAGAGCTCCCGAAGCTCGATCCCCCAGGCGGCGCGTATGGCCAGAGGGCCCCGCCTCGCCAGCAGCCGCCGTGGAAGCATGCGGAGCGCACAGCAGGGAGCGGCGGAGGGGGCTCTCCTGGCCGCGGCGGGCCCGGGCCACGGGCAGGTTCCAGGTGGTTCCAGAGCTCCAGATCTCCAAATCTCCAGATCTCCCCAGATCTCCCCAGATCTCCAGATCTCCAGATCCAGACAGGTTCCAGGTGGTTCCAGATCTCCAGATCTCCGGGGAACGGCCCCAAATCAGGAGGGAAAGAAACACACAGACACAACTAATCTTCGATTCCCAGAAAACATGGGAAAACATGGGAAGTGGGGGGGAAGACAAAAACCCAGAAAATATGGGAAAATATGGGGGATCTTTTTATTTGTGTGTATTTATTTGTGTGTGTGTGTCCCAGTTCCCCTTCCGTTCCAGACGGTTCCAGGAGGCTCAAAGTCTCCAGGGAACGGCCCCAGAGCCCGAGCCCCTGCGGAGCCCAGAGCGGTGCCTCCCTCGCCGTCTTGGCCGTGCCGCCCGCGGTCGTCGGGCGGCGCGGCCCCGGGGAGCCCCGAGGAGCTGGCGCCCGACGTGGAGGCCGAGAAGGCGCGCCGGAGGGGGCGGGTGCCGCGGGTGCAGCGGGGCGCACGGCCTCGCCGCGGGGCTGCGAGGACTCCCAGGAGCTCTCAAGCCAGGGCGCGCGCTGAGCATACGTCGTCGTCGTCGTCGTCGTTTTGGGTTCGTTTGGGGTTTTGGGTTCGTTTTGGGGTGGGCCGTCGTCGTTTTGGGTCCGTTGGAGTGGGCCGCCGTCGTTTTTGTCGTTCGTCGTCGTTGGAGTGGGCCGCCGTCGTTTTTCGCAGGGTGCCCCCGCGTCTGCGGGGCCGCGGCCTCGCGGGGCTCGGCCCGCGAGGCCGCGGCTGCGGACACGGCCTCCGCCCACGACGGAGGACGGGGCGCCTCCGCAGTGCAAGCCCAATCTTGGGCCCCCTCCTCCATCCTCAACAAGGGCGCCCTCGAGGGCGCGAAGTTATTCGCGCTTCGCGCTTCTCGGTTCGGCTCCCATTCCTCCTCCTCCTCCTCTTCTCCCCTGGGAGGCGGCGCGAGAGCGCGAAGTTATTCGCGCTTCGCGCTTCGCGCAGCGCGAAGCGCGAAGTTGGGAGCCCTTGCCTCAAGGCCGCATCCCTTCGGGCCTGCCCCATCTTCGGGCCGCCGGCAAGAGATAGGGGGGGGGGAAGAGGGCGAGGACGGAGAGCACGAGCGGGGCGGAGCAGAGGCAGAGCGAGGGGTGCCGACACCACGGCGTAGACGGCAAGCACCGTCTGGCTCGAGCTCGAGCCCGGGTTCAAGTTGTGATGGCGCAGTCCTCGGCCTCCCAGATTGGGTCCGAGTAGATGGGGTCGGTGGATCGCGCCGCATCGCCGATGCATTGGGGATTCAGCTCGATGTGGAGCGCCGACTCCCTCCGCGCCGGCGTCGCCGACGCGTCGCCGACGTCGCCGATATATCGTCGATGCATCGGCGATGCATCAGCGATGCGGCGCGATCCTCCAACCCCATCTACTCGGACCCCTTTTCGGAAGCCTCTGGCAATTGGTTCTCCGTCTGGCTCTAGGACGTGTCGAGTGCCTTGTTTTTGTCGGGCCCCGGCGGCTGCGGTTCGCTCAGCAAGCTCACGCAATGGATACACGCGGCAGCATGCACGCATGCGCACACCTGCAGCTACTCCTGCAAAGTCCGTGCCATCACGCGCTGCAGCGGTAACGATGCTCGGCGGAAGTGCGGCCCCGAGGTGGGCCAGCCGAGGCCATGGCGGCCCTCCCACTGGCGCGTTCCGTTTTTTTTTTCTGACCTCCTGGAAGCTCCTCGTCGTCACGGCCGGGTCCGCTTCGAAAAACGGGTCTGGATGTATGATGTTCCAACCTTTTTTAGCTTGGATCACCCGAAAGAATTTCGAGCACCACGAAAGCACCGAAGTCGGAGGGTTTTCCTGTGTCGGGCCCTTGGAGGCGATACTCGTTCGACACAGTTTCGATACTGCTCGGGGTGCTCGAAATTATCTCTGGGATGCGGTCCTTGAGCACGATGGGAGCAACATAAGTCTGGATGGCACTTGGCGAGGGGTCCGGGGACCGGTTTTGAGCGGCCTTGGGCCCAGTGTCGGGGGAGCGTACGACCCGGGTTTGCCAGGACTCGGGTTCGCCATCGGTTTTTGACGACCGCGCTTCGGATTTTGACGAGGAGGAGTTTCGTGGGATGTCTGCAGCGGGAGGCCTCGTCAAAATGCAGGCTCGGCCCCGTTATTTTTTTGACGACCTCGTCGGGGATTTCCGAGTCCAACGGAACCCGGGTCTTACGTCCCCCTGACAGTGGGGAGGAGTCCCGAGGAGGTGCGCGTGGATCAGCGAGGGGTGCCGTGTCCATACAGCGTCGGCGCGCTCCGTCGCCACGTCATTGGGCGTCATCGGCTTCACGTCTCGGGGGGTGCCTTCCCCGATCTGCGGATCTGGCGCCCGCGCACGGCTCCCTGCCGTGGAGGCCAGTGCCACGGAACACCCTGCTTGCCTCCAGAGGGTTTCCCTGGGTTTCTTGGGCGTCGATGGTTTTGCTGTGGAGAGCGTGACGTTCCCACACCAAAACTTGATGCTCGTCCTGGGGTCTCAGGGTTGGGTTTCATGTGGAAGGTCTCTTATGGTCGAGCCCCTACTGGAATGCATGTTTGCGTGCGCCCGTGAGGGGGCTCACGGGGAGGTTCGAGGTTCAACGTGGACTATCTTCACCCGTTGCTCTTGTGCTTCCGCGGATGTGTCTCCTCGCCCCTCTCCCAGTCCTCAAGTTTCCTCTTCCTCCTCCACCACCTCCACCCCCAGCTCCCAAGGATTCCCACTCAAGCCCACATCTGTCTCGAGCGCACGAGGGCGTCTACCTTCTCTCCTCTCTCCTCTTGCCCTTTACGCTCGCTCAACATGAGTACTACTCTCCTCCTCTCACCCTGGAAGATAGGCCTGCGAGCAGCACGCCCCCCTCTCCGCGTAGTGTCTTCTTGTCCACAGGAGAGGTCCGAGCTGCTGGTTGTTTCTTACGTGCTTTTTCCAGTCCGAACCTTTTGCGATGCTTCAAACATGATGGTCCCGCTGCACTGGGGGCCTTATTTCAGTATCGGGGCTTTGCTACAGTCGTCTAGAATGGCGAGGAGACGGCGAGGAAGGGGACGGCGAGGCGAAGAGGGGGGAAGGGGAGAGGGGCGGCGGGGGGGGTGCGGGGGGGGGGAGAGGGAGGGGGACGGGGGAAGGGAGGTGAGGGGTGGTGCGAGGAAGGGGGAGGCGAGAGGCGGGTGGCAAGCTAGATGCGCTCGCGCCATATCTGAAATCCTACCTCTCCCACCCATCCTTCCCCCTTCCCCATTGCCATGGCTGTTTCTCTATCCGCGGTGACGTGTCATAGCGGACCTGGAACTCCAAACATACATTCGTTGTGTATTGCACAATCAGAGAGGAATGTTGTGTACATAGGAGGAGGTTGCGGATGAGCAAGAGGATCAGCAGGAGGAGAATGAAGAGGTTGAGGAAGGAGGACGAAGACGAACAGCAGCAGGAATTGGAGTGGAAGAAGCGGGTGGAGCTGGAGAGCCAGGGAAAGGCGGAGGGAGCAGGAGGGGGGTGACAACGTTGAGGAAACACCCGGATCCAGAAGGGTGGCCCTGGCTTGGGCGAGAGCATCGCCATCATCGTCGTCGCCGTCGTCGCCGTCGTTCGTCGTCGTTCGTCGTCGTCGTCGTCATCGTCGTCGTCGTCGTGTCGTCGTCGTCGTCGTCGTCGTCGTCGTCGTCGTCGTCGTTGGTGTCGTCGTCGTCGTCGTCGTCGTCGTCACCCCTGGAGTGGTCAGGGGACGGCCTTTGAGCGGATTTGCCCTCGTCCTCCTCCTCTTGACAGCTTTTTCGGGCAGCTCCCGAGGTGGCGTACGAGGGCGGCCTGAGGCCGAAGAAGCTGGAGGAGCTGTACGTGTCCTACCTCGACAGGAGGGGGGGGAGGGGGAGCGAGCAGGGACGCACGAGGAGGAGGTAGGAGAAAGGAGGGGGAGAAGGTGGGGTAGGGAAGGGGAAGGAGGAGGAGGAGGAGGAGGAGAAGCAGGAGGAGGAGGAGGAGGAGGAGGAGGAGGAGGGGGACCGGAGGAAATCCAAGATGCGTCAACGATGCTGTCAATCACCCTCCCGCCCCAAGGCCCAGGGCACCGTCCTGAACTGGAATTACTCTGCATCCCTCTTGCGAGTAGTGATTGTGGAAATCAGGAGTGTGGAATTCAGCCAGGTGTCCAGCGAAGTTCCGTTATCGAGAACGGGCCGCCCTCCATCTGGGCTATTGCTTGCTCCACATGCTCACACTTATGGTAATGGACGCACTTGGCGAGAGGGGAGGAGGAGGAGGAGGAGGAGGAGGAGGAGGAGGAGGAGGAGGAGGAGGAGAAGGAGGAGGTGGAGGAGGAGGAGGAGGAGGAGGAGAGGGGGAGGAGGAGGAGGAGGAGGGGGAGTTGGAGGAGGAGGCTTGTGTTGAAAAGCAGTCGTCCTCCGTCTGTGCGACTGTTGCATCTGTTTACGCGTCTGGTTTCCAGCAGCCAGAAAGTGTCGTTCGTTGCAGCTGCGGGGGCAGAGGTGCGCGGCGCTGAAGCACTCTCTCCAGGGTGAAAACGACCACATCCATCCTCGCAGCTGGTGCGAAGTATTTCGACGACTGTTCGCGGCGCTAGGGCGAGAATGTCATTGCGAATGCGCTCCCTTCCATCGTTCTAGTTGTTGCAAGTTTCAAGCTTTATGGTTTCGAGATGGTGAAAACATCTCGGGCGAACTGCCCGACCCGCCCAACCACGCGTCTGGGGATCCCAAACTAAAAAGTTACCTGCAAGCTGTAAGGGCAATGCTTGGCATCCGAGGAGGAGGAACATGCCGAGGTAAAGATGAGGAGCAGATGGAGGAGGATAAACATGATTATGGTGTAGAGGAGGAGGAGAAGGAGGAGGAGGAGGAGGGAGGAGGGAGGAAGGATGAGGATGGAGGATGAAGGAGGAGGGGAGACGGAGAGAAGAGGCGTTGGACGTGTCTCGTGTTTGTCGTGCAGGGGCAGCGTGCACCCTGCGGTATGCGGGTGAACACTCGGCCCCCCTTCTCCCCAAGATCGCATCATTCCCTGCCCTCGGCCCCCATGGAGCCCCAAGCAACATCAGCAGCATCAAACAGGCCTGCAGTCCCACTAGTGCAACTTGCAGAGGAGAAGAGGAAACCACCACGAGTGAGCAGACTCCTTCCTGCCCCTCTCCCCCGCGGCGCCATGGAACCCCCCAGCACATTCTACTCCTTCCTCCCTCCCTCCCTCCCCCCCCGCCTCCCCTGCACCCCCCCCCCCCCCAGAGGCCGCTTGCGCTCCCTGGCCTGGCACAACCTTGTCCTTGCTCCTCCTCTCCCCCCTTCCCGTTCCCGCTCCTCCCCGCTGCTT